ATAGATATATAGTTGCATTCTCTTAATGAATAGAATGATTTGTTCTAATGGTGTTTGTAAATAGGATCTCAAGTTCGCATCTTGTACAGCAATTAACCACTAAGAAGAATATATGCAGTGCATTATTTGTTGAAACTGTACTTCCGATTTGATTTGAAACTGTCTCATTGCAATCTGTTTATCAATAAAATTTTGAAAAAAAAAAAGAAAAAGAAATGGAGTCTTCAGCTGGGCATGATGGCTTGTGTCTATAATTCCAGGATTCTGGGTGGCTGGTGTGGGAGAAGGATAAATTCTAGCCCAGCTGAGGCAAGTAGCAACTTAGGGAGACCCAGTCTGAAAGCTTAACAGGGGTGGGGGGTGTAAGTCAGTCCAAAGGCCTGGGTTCAATCCTCAGTACAACACAAACACACATACAAAAAGAAGGAGAGGAAGACAAACAGATGGAGAGAAGGAAGGAGGGGAGGAGGGATAGGAGAGGGTGAGGGCAAGGGCGAGGGCGAGGGCAAGGGTGAGGGGGAGGGAGACCAACCTGCCGCTGTTGTCTAGGCCGGTCTGCAGTCCTGGGCTAAACAGGTCCTCCTGCCTCAGCCCCCCAAGTAGCTGGGGCAGTGGACACTGAGCACATTCTACTGTGCCTGCTCCTGCTCACTTTTGATACGCAGTAATGAGCATTCCGAGTGGATGCCAAGAGGCCAGTCCATTGATTGGCCACGCGCAGCAGGCCTTTCACACCACTTCATGGCTCACTTAAATCTCGCAGTAATCTCATGAGAGGTAGCTCAGTGGTTCTGAATCCGAGACCTAATAATTGACTAGGCTTGAAAACCACTCAGGTGGACAGCTGGTTGCAATGTGTAGATGAATAACTGAAGTTCAGGAAATAACAGTAAGGGGCTTGAGGTCGCATGACTAGGAGTAGTCACCTACATCCCTCAAGGAAAGTACCTTACCAGAAGCCATCCTGCCTCTGGCATCTCAAAGGAGCATCTGCAAAGGAAGCATAGAAGGCCCTGAGCTGAGACCTGGAAACCTGTGAGCTCTGTCGGTGGCGCTGCCAACTGTCCCAAGCCCTGAGGTTGCGGTGCGAGGGAGGACTGGGCACGAGCTAACTGTGTCTGGGGGCTGAGTGGGACACAGAGCTGAGGGAGGCTGGCACTCCCTCAGGAAACCTGACCGGAAGGACAGAGCCTGGGCCAGGCCAAGACCTTCCTTCTTCAAGAGCTTTGTGCTTTTTTGTGCTGAAGTTACCAAAGCCAAACACCAAACTCTGGGGGCCCAGGACCGAGAAGGGGAGATGGGTGGCCCCAGGAGAGTGCAGGCAATCTGGAAGACAATGACAATGCAACCCACTCTAGACTTCCCAGGGCCCCATCAGCGAAGCCTTCTGCTTCCATCCCATGCGTATTCGTTTCTGTCTTTGAGGTGCTGCTTCTACTGCAGGATACAAAGGGAAAGAAAAGGAGAATTTCAGCAGAACATTTGGATGATTTGTAAGGGTCCAACTAACACAGCTGAGGAGACTGGAAGAGTTGTCTGGCTAGGTGGCACCTAGGCAAACCCAGGCTGGCTGGACTGTCCTCAGGGGCAGCCTGGAACCCCCCGGTGGCCGCTTTCTGCAATCCTCTTACCAAATCCAACTCAGACTCGTTCCTTGTGACTTGAAAGAAGAGGATGACAGCTCCTCACACAGATGGAGCCCTCAGGGCACCTTCACTGTCAGCCAGCCTGTCCTGGGCTGGGGGAGGCAGCGGTGTTAGCCCTCCATATCGCAGCAGTGACAGCGCTACAGTTCAACCCCCACTCTGTCTGGTGTTATTTCAATCACAAACTGGCTGGCTGCACTCTGTTAGCCCCATGCTGCCTGCAGGGTGCTAGCACACCTTCAGATGTCTCACTGAATCAACTCTGTTGAGGGAAAGGTCTCTACTCACTCATGGCTATAGAGAAAGCCACCTTGAAAAGTGGTCAGAAGGAGGTGAAACTATGCACAAGTGCTGGGAACAGGACTTACCCACCACTCTCCCACCCTTCATGGCTCTAGAGACCTCAGACCTTGGTCTTTCTGGCTCAAGTCTTAGTGAGTGATGAGGGAATAGAGGGATGGGGTGTGACATGGCCTGATCGTCTTCCACAGTAAGCACAAGGCCAAAGACAGCTCCAGAGGCCCGGGAGATGGCTCAGTGGAACAAGCATTTCCCTGGCAAGCGCAAGGACCTGAGTTCAATTCCTGGTTCTGCCAAAGACAGCTCCAAGCCTGGTATGTTGACACAAGCCTGCATTTCCAGCACTCCAGAAGGCTGAGGCAGGAGGATCACAAGTGCAAGACCAGCTTGGGCAATTTTGCAATTTAGTGAGAGACTTTCAAAATAAACAAAGGCCAGAGGCTGGGCTGCAGCTCAGTGTGAAGGCCCTTGGTCCAATCCCCAGTAATGAAATAAGATCGGCTCCAAAGTCCCATAAGATCCCCCCTTCCTTTGGTGGTCTGTCCTTCCTTTATTATCCATTCAGCGAAATGAAAATTGACCCAGAACTGTAAGGTCTGAAGAGGTCTTTTGCTGCCTCTCCAGGGACCACTTTCTTCCCTCTGGAGTTTAATCTGTTTGCAGGAGGCTCTTTTGTCCAGAGAGATCTCTACAAAGAGCAGGTCTTGAAAGCCTCGGATTCACACATCTCCAAACGCTTGCAGGGCTAGGCGGCCGGCAGCAGGAAGAGCTTGACGAAGAGCGTGACGCGGAAGCCAGTGGCAGGGACTGTGGGAGACGAATGCACCTATGGGTGCAATGGGACCTCACTTCCACTGCGGCCGCCCCAATTCCTCCCCTTTTAGTAGAAGACAAGTCCGGACGATAAACAGTCAAAATCAATCCAATTTCTTTTTAGACAACGCCTCCGAGCTTGAAAATGCCCATTTTGAGATGTTTAAACGGAACATTTTTAAAACAGAAGCCACCAGCACGCGGGTCAGTAAGAGTCTGCTCAGCATCAGAGCCCTGCAAACGCACCCAAGCGACGCTCTGCGCCTTCGCCCTGCTCACGCCTGACCCCCTATCCCTGCTCCCTCCTCCTACAGTCTCCTCTGGGGGTTCCCCCACCCTTAAGGCCTTAGGCGCCTCGGAGCCAGAGCGATGCGCTCAGCCTCAGACCATCTCCAGCCCAGACTCCCGAGGGTGGGGACAAGGCCTGGCCCTGCGGGTCCCCTCTAGCTGCAAAACCAGCGCTCCTCTTCAGAAGCTCAGGGGAGGGGATGGGCGTGGGGAGCAGGCTTTTCTCAGAAAGCCCCCTTTCTCTCCACGCCTTGGGGAGCCGGAGGACAGGGTTTAGACACTCGCCAGAGCTGTGCGGTCTCAGGCTGGGAGCCCAGGACGCGTAGGACTCTGTCGCAGTGCCCGCGCGTCCCCACCGCGTCCCGACCCCCTCCCCGCCGGCCCGGAGCAGGAGCTCCGCCCCCCAAGCACCGCCCCGGCCCCTCCCGGCCTTAAAGCTCCGCGCGCCCGCCCGCGCCGCCTGCCTCACCTCCCGCGTCCTCCGAGCTCCTGCCCAGCCCGGCACCATGAGCTTCGGTTCCGAGCACTACCTGTGCGCCTCCTCCTACCGCAAGGTGTTCGGCGATGGCGCGCGTCTCTCCGGGCGCCTCTCGGCGGCCGGCGGCGCGGGCAGCTTTCGCTCGCACTCGCTGTCTCGCTGCTCCACGGCTTCCGCGGCCGCCTGCGCCCCGAGCTCCTCGCTCGGCCTGGGCCTGGCCTACCGGAGCCGCGCGGCGGCGGCCGACGGGCTGGACCTGAGCCAGGCGGCGGCGCGCACCAACGAGTACAAGATCATCCGCACCAACGAGAAGGAGCAGCTGCAGGGCCTCAACGACCGCTTCGCGGTGTTCATCGAGAAGGTGCACCAGCTGGAGACGCAGAACCGCGCGCTCGAGGCCGAGCTGGCCGCCCTGCGGCAGCGCCACGCCGAGCCGTCGCGCGTGGGCGAGCTCTTCCAGCGCGAGCTCCGCGACCTGCGCGCGCAGCTGGAGGAGGCGAGCTCGGCGCGCGCGCAGGCCCTGCTGGAGCGCGACGGCCTGGCCGAGGAGGTGCAGCGGCTGCGGGCGCGCTGCGAGGAGGAGAGCCGCGGGCGCGAGGGGGCCGAGCGCGCCCTCAAGGCGCAGCAGCGCGACGTGGACGGCGCCACGCTGGCCCGTCTGGACCTGGAGAAGAAGGTGGAGTCGCTGTTGGACGAGCTCGCCTTCGTGCGCCAGGTGCATGACGAGGAGGTGGCCGAGCTGCTGGCCACCCTGCAGGCCTCGTCGCAGGCCGCGGCCGAGGTCGACGTGGCGGTGGCCAAGCCGGACCTGAGCTCGGCGCTGAGGGAGATCCGCGCACAGTACGAGTCCTTGGCCGCCAAGAACCTGCAGTCTGCGGAGGAGTGGTACAAGTCCAAGTTCGCCAACCTGAATGAGCAGGCGGCGCGCAGCACCGAGGCCATCCGTGCCAGCCGCGAGGAGATCCACGAGTACCGGCGCCAGCTGCAGGCGCGCACCATCGAGATCGAGGGCCTGCGCGGAGCCAATGAGTCCCTGGAGAGGCAGATCCTGGAGCTGGAGGAGCGGCACAGCGCGGAGGTGGCCGGTTACCAGGTAAGGGCCGGTCCTCTGGAGCCTCGGGCCCTTGGGAGATGGGTGGGGCTGTAGGGGGTGGAAGGTGGCGGGGACCTCGACTCTGGCGTCGGCAGGCAGAAATCCATGCCGTTTCTACTGTGAACTCTGGGTGCCCAGAAAGAAGCTTTCCATCCCCGCCCTTAGTTATGTTCTCGTTTGAGTTCTAACAAAGAAACAAGTGAGTTTTTCTCAGACTCAAAAAAAATCTGATCAATCCTGTCCATCAGCAAGTGTTCAAACACCGTGTGGCCTGGGGAAGGGCCTCCACCCAGGCAGGAGAGCGGGTGGAGGCAGGGCAGAGCCTCTGCGGTCTGGACTGCTGTCTCTGCCATCTGCTGTGATTGGTTTTGGAAAGGTTTCTGTACGCCGCAGAACTGATATTTATGGAGTGTGTCTGCCAGCCAAGCTCTGGAGCCAAGAAGAGTGCTACCCATTTTCTTGATTTTTGCCTTCAAAAATGTGTGGAGACAGAGAACTCAGGAAGCTGGGTGGAGTCTTAACTACTAACAACCGTGCTGCTGTACCCTCCCTCGCAACACACACACACACACGTCCTCCATCTACTGACATTTCCTAAAGAAATCTTTCTTTCTTTACCAGGGGTTGAACTCAGGCCCTTGAGCTTGCCAGGCAAGTGCTTAGTCTAGTGAGCCATCTTCCTGGCCCCTGAAAGAAATCTTTATACAAGGTGTTTAGCAGGGCAGACCCGCGGGCGCTGTCCATGGTGCTGATCCATATCGCTCCTCTTTCTTGCCCTAGTTATGAATCTCCAGGCAATTAACTGCTTTGACATTTTTTTTCTTTGAAACACATCAGCTTGGTTACCTGCAATCAAAGGTCACTTTGTGGGCAGCATCAATTTTCACTTTCATGGATGGCTTAATACAACAAGAACCCCTCAATGGGCTCAGCAGCTAGGGTGGAGGGACTCTCCCATTTTAAGTGTAGAAATTCCCATTACTTCAGGATTTTTCTATCTTAAAGGCATGTGGAAAATCACAGAGCTGGTTTCATTGTTATAGGTGGCTTCTTTTTTCCATCTTGCCCTGCCCTGTAAGCTCATGCTAGGTATTGATTGGCTCTTTCCTCCCAACAAAGGCTCCTGCGTCTTCAATTTTACTACACAGAACATTCTGGGCTTTTAACTACAAAGGGCGTAGAAACAAGAGATAGGATGAATGAAGAATGCAGAAAAGAGCCAAAGGAGCATGGCTTATTTTCAAGGAGCTTATAATAGAAGCTCCTTGGAATAGAATGCCAATAATACAGAAACTTAAAATAATTTATTCTGCTTAGGGTTGAAGTTTATATTTGATAAGTTGGAAACATTAATAACCGAGAAAAAGCATGGAATCTGAAAGGGTCTGTTTTAGTCAGGAGCTAAGGAATTCTGTGCAGGTATTGGTGGTTCATTACAAATAACTCCGTCTGACAAAGGAAGAAAGCCTGGTTGTGGTGGTTTTGATTATAGTTCAGTGGTGCAGTGCCTGCCTGGCAAGCATGAGGTCCTGAGTTACGCTCCCAGCACCCCCCCCAAAAAAAAACCCAAAAAACTATTTTGCTTCAAAATCTGTAATGAATGCTATGTAGCTGGCTTCTGGGTGATGTGAATCAATCACATTTAATTAAATAAGACTTCATGTTTTCTCCCAGAAGCCTCAAAGGCTGAGCTAGGTGGTCTTCTGGAAGAAAAGCCCAGTGTTTCTGCGAAAAAATGATAACTCACCTGAACTTTCCACAGAATTGGGTGGTGCCATGTCCTCTGCTTGTTTCAGCCCCTACAGCCTAAGAGGTAATGATGGTGCTGACTGGCTTTCCTTGCTATAAAAGGCGTTCAGTGTTAGACAATAGAAGGCCCACCCAGACAAGGTCTGCGGGAAGCAAACAGCAGAACGGCGGCTTCTGTAGCTCTGCAGTGCTTTCCCCATGGGCTTTGGCCTTCAGAGTCTCAGTGGCCCTCCTGATGGGAGTGAAGAGCTCCGGCAGCAGAGAGCTACCTCCCACCCCTTGGCACTAACGACAGGGGTGGGGCTCACAGTTGGACCTGCACGTCCTGAATGCCCAAAGCCTCTGGCTATTCTAACAATTGCAGTGCTGGCCAAGGTGAAAAGCCTCCCTGTCCACAAAGACAGGCAGCCATTGTTTCCTTGCCCCCTAACCCTGCTCCTCCTCTTACTGCAGTAGTGGGAGGATGCTCTCTTCTGGCTGCTTTGGAAATCAGGGAAGGCACCTTTCCTTTGCAGGCATGGCAACCCTTTCAGAGACGCAGGAAGGCCTCGTGAGAGTCGAGGTTTCCTACCCCAGAGAGCTGATAGCCTATTTGAAGAAAGGCTGTGTATTACATTCAGAAGGATAAAGAATGATTCAAGGTGACATAGGAAGTACACAGTGGGCAGTCGGGCAAGAGGAGAGATTAGGAAGAGCTGGGCCTGCTGTCTCCAAAGGCCGAATGCAGCTGCCTCTTTCATGGCAAGTGGAGATTTCCCATTTCTGTTCCCTGTGCACTTGCCTCACCTCCTGGCATGCCGGTGTGCAGACTCTTGGAGGCTTCGTGTGTCACAGACCTTAGACCTGGCCTACAGAGCCAGAGCGTTCCTTGAAAGGCCTTGCTGCACTGTCAAGAGCTCGGCTGCTTAATGTTCCGCAGGGAGATCAGCCAAGCCTGCCCTCTTCTTGCCAAGATGAGATTGGAGTATAGCCTAATTAAATAGCAGCAAGGGCTTGGCCCCTGGGAGAGCGCAGGCCGCAGTGGCTGCCTAGAAGGATAACTGGATAGATCTATTTTTTTTTATTTTAAAAAGAAAAAATAAAACAATTTCAAAACAAGATAACAGAGGGGTAACAATGGCTAATCATTGCCTCTTGTTATCTTTAGATAGATCTACTTTGAAATAAGAATTGAAGGGGGAAAATATTATATTTGGTCATATTTTTTTTTCTTTTTCAAGTTCTTTTATCTGCTTTTTTGTTTTTTGTTTTTTGTTTGTTTGCTTTTCCCTATTTTACTCTGTTATTGTCACCTGGCCACCTCGATTGATAGCTCCTTTACAGAAATGTTAGAGGTTCCTAAACCCAGTGGTGCACAAGTGGGTTTAAGAAAAAAAAGACTCTTGAGCACACCTTGGAGGTTATGGACTCAGTAGCTCCCAGGTGGGGCCCAGGAATATGCATTTTTAGTAAAAGTGCTGTCTTCTGTCAGTCCTGGCACTGATTTTGGAGTGCGCTGAGCTAAACCACATTTTCCAGTAAGGCGGCTTACAGAGAGATACATAGATACAAACATAGAGGATTTTAGCTGAGTGTGGTGGCGCGTGCCTGTAGTCCCCGCACAGAGAGACTGAGGCAGGAAGATTGTCATTGCTGGGTGTTCAAGGCCAGACTGTGCTATGGAATGAGAGCCTGTCTCTAAAAAAATTAAAAAATAAAAATAAAGTGCCATAGGAGAGAAAAAGGAAAAGATGTGGATGGAGTAAAGATGGGGTGAGAATAAGAACAGTGGTGGTGCCTGGATGGGCTGCACAGAGAAGTCCTCTGTCCCCTGCAGGGCTTTATGCAAATGAGCAATTCAGGACCAACTCTTAGAGTTAGACCCTGAGGAGCTGGCTACTGCTGCTGGCTGAGGGCCTCCAGTAGTAGTGACATTCACAGCATGGTAGTCTTGGCTCTGCCTCGCTGCAGATGCCAGTGTCCTCCCGTCCCTGTTCCCCATCACTCCAGGAGAGCCCCCCACTGGCCTGGAGCACAGTAGCCCTTGACCTGACCTGGTCCAGCCTGAAGCAGCAGCAGCAGCCCCAGCAGCAGCAGTCCCCCCCAGCAGCCCCAGCTGCAGCCGCCCCCCAAGCAGCCAGCAGCCTCAGCAGCTGCCCCCCAAGCAGCCAGCAGCCTCAGCAGCAGCCCCCCCCCAAGCAGCCAGCAGCCTCAGCAGCAGCCCCCTCCCCCCGCAGCCCCAGTTGCAGCCGCCCCTCCCCCCAGCAGCTCCAGCTGCAGCAGCAGCAGCATGGCCGGGGGAAGGGCCTTCCTCCAAGGGACGCCATCTTTGCTGGGCAGTGAGGGGCCTGAAGGACACGGACAAAGCCTGGACGTGTGCGCCACAGCAGGTAGCTCCTCTATGCCGTCTGGGCCCCATTGTCCACTCTGACCCATAAATGACTTGTGAAACATCCAGCATAAAAGTTCAAAGAAATCTCATCTGTCTGGAACTCAGCTCCCAGCAACTGCTTAGTTAGAAAACACAGCTGTAAAACAAAATGTTTTGAAGGAGAACCTAAGTCCCCTGCCGACAAGGCAGTATGTGTTAGGCCTGAGCCCAGCCCGATCGCTTTTGCCACGCCCGATTCTGAACGACCTCTTTAATTGGGTTTTAAGGCTGCAGGTGGACAGGGAAAGGCAGTCACTACCCCGTCAGGCATTGTCAGGAACGAGGAGCAGCAGAGCAGGCCATCTTTCAGGACAAAGGGATCCAGGATGCAGCAGCATGAGCCCAAACACTGACCTTCAGGGCCATTTAGGATAGAAGGAAATAGTGGGACAGACCCAAAGACAAAGGACATTACAGCATTGTGCAGAAGTAATCGATCATTTTCTGACATTGTTGAGGTAAGTTACATTAATTTTTTAAATATATAATTAAGTTTAGCTATACATACATACAATTAAGTTTTAGATATACATAATGGTCATATTTATCATGTGGACATTATTATTAATGTCTTAATTGACTGATACAAGCTACTTGAGAAAAGGCTTTTATTCAAAGTTGCTATTTTTTTATTTTTTGTATTTTTTAGGGAAGGGTCTACAGGGTGTTCAGGGTTTCACTACTAGATCGGACTAGTACTGATCCGCTTGTTTACAGCCTCCCAAAAGCTGGGATTATAGGTGTGTACCACCACGCCCAGTCTCAGTTGCCCTGGAGGCAGGGCTGGCAAGGCAGGCCTGGGGATTGAACCCCTGTCCCCTGTGCCTGCTTGCAGGTGCCT